CAGAGCCGAGCGCTCACCTAAGTCGGGCTTGCCTTGGGACCATACGTAGTAACAGTGCGGGACGGCTGTTCACTACATTTGGGGGCTGTTCCGGGATTTCTAAAAACAATCCGGGCAGGATTTCGAGCTTGATTACAGGGGAAGACCCTCTTCCTTAAAGCCCGAAGGGGACCCCACACCTCAGTGGGGACGGGGGAGAACATGCATCTACGCAACGGGAAAGTAGTACGACCTCCACTTGAACCGGACGCCGGAATGCAGGATATAGTTGAGCCAAACGAAGAAGCCGCGGACTACCCTATGGAATCGCCGCGAAGAGAACCTGATCACTGCATCGACCTGCCCACCGCGGGGATGGCTCGATCGGCACCGAGAGTCTGGTTCCGAGACATTGGAGGGAGTAAGGAACCCGTGGGGGATCAAGCTTGGGTGGATCCAGGTCTGACCGAATTCTTGCGGGAACTTGCCGCTCAGATGGCCCGGGGGGTAGTGCAAGCGTCCCAGAGGTCCATCGGATACGAGGACGGCAAGAACATGAGGGATTTCCTCGACCTTGCAGAGTTAGATTTCATCGAAAGAGGGCTAGAAGAACGGCTGTGGGGAGAAGAACTCAAAAGATATCTGCGGGGAGACGCCTTGAGATACTGGCTGTATCTGCGTCGCACTGGAGAACCCTTAACTGATTGAGAGCAACTGAGACAGCGATTCTGTGAGCACTTCTGTAGTATAACCCTGGAACGGATGAAGGTCATGATAGCGAAGAATGTCTGGAGGGGCGACCACCACGCATACTCGGCGCGCTTTGCGGACATCGTGGCTCAAGGGGTGTCGGTGGCTCCAGATATGTTGGTGGGGTACTACCTGGCCAACCTGCCAGGTGAAATACTCAGAGAGGTAACTCGAGGGGGAACAAGGAGATTCGCAGACTGGCGGGAAGCCGCCGCAGCACTGGCTGCTATGGCGGCACCGTGGAAGGATCTATGCGAAGACCACCACCGATTCCGGCGAGACTTAGAGGATGCCACGCGTAGATGGGCTAAAGGCGAGCGGGAGCCGGACCTACTACGCGAACGAGAGAACAGGGACGACAGAGGAAATGATGCTTCGGACCCACGCTGCTACGCGTGCAGCGGAAGGGGACATGTGGGCAGGGACTGTCCACCCCCTCACCCCCGGTTCCACCCCCCACCACTACGCTCGACACTACGCTCGACCCCGCTGCCGAATCTTCCACGCCGGCAGACCCTAGACCTGCGCCCAGTTCTCCCGTCCTCGACTGGCCGGCAGCGTATTCTAAGTGCCCGGTGTTCAGTGTGCCTTATAACACTGCCTCTACCAAGCAGGGTGAAGTTGTTCAACTGGAGTTTCAACATCGTCGTCACACCTTCCGTTTTATCCTGCCCTATTTACATATATGCGTTAATGGTCTCTGGCTTATCTGCGTGCCGCAGTTTCCAGAGTTCCTCACTCACGTCCTGTACACACATCATGATCACGTCACCGCCGGGCATCGAGGCCAAAAGAAGACCTACAAGGCCCTCAGTAAGCGTTACTATTGGCCTGGCATGCGTACTTACACCAACGCGTACGTGGAGTCCTGCACGCAGTGTCGCGCATCCAAATCACTTAATCAAAAACCCGCCGGCCTCTTACAACA